ATAAATAACTCTTCATACCAGAAAAGAAACCAACCTTGATGGTGCACACCGGATATTTAGGTCACACTGACAGGGCGGCCAACCTCTTAACATGACTGAAACAGAAACATTCGAATATCAGACGGATTACATGACGGTAATTTTTCACCCTATTTTTCCCACATTTACGTGTATAATATTATTCTACTTCCTATCCACGAAGGGAAATTCGGGCGAAACAAATGCCCACCACTCATTCAATTGGTCGCGTATCCATAACAGAGAAACTAGGGAAAGATTTCATTGACAACAAAGAATTTTCGTCATAAAGTTATGTCATTGGAGGGCTGCATAATGCGATAATATGTGATATTAAGTAATCATTTATATTACCGTGGGGGATTCGAGAACTCTTGAGGTGGGAGAGGCGTTCTCGACACAATCTAAGCTATCACGTAGCAATATAACCTCGGAATATAAAAACAGAAATTTATATTATGGGTGCAAAAACAGTTAGGACGCTCAATTTTATACATAAGGTCATATTTCGACTTATATTCCACGTTACTACAGTCCTATATTACGTTCGGTTAAATACCAGCTTCGTAAATGATGTTACTCTTAGGTGTGCGCAATGAACTACTGCGCACCCACCTATAAACCAGGTGGCTGGCACTTGGATCCCTGATGTTAGGTTAAGTCATGTTAGGTTAGTTTTCTTCAGATTAGGTTTGCGCAGTAGGCTACTGCGCATTGAGCCGCCCTTCCTCCTCTTCGAAGACAACCGGCTCTGCTCACAATCGACTGTTTGTCTCGTGGTGTTCCAATGCCTCCCCAAAGTGGACGGGGATCTCAAGGGAGGAACCGAGAGGGTTAGCTGGCATAGGCGTTGGGCTGTACAAATATTTCAGCAGAGTACAAGAAATCATAACAATCCAGCTGGCTTTTCAATAATATAAAAATATATTGCAACAAAAGAGTAGAAATGTAAATCATACAAATATGACAAGGAAAATGTTACAGCTTCGCCTGAAGGGCTGGTAGAAAAATCAAATAAACATCAGTCAAGAGTGACTCAGAATTTGCCCGCAGTCAAAGTAACGGTTGCGACCCTTTTAAGTTCACTGACCTGGGCTGATCAATAGCCTTGAAAGTACATAGTTAAAACTGTCGCAAATAGCCTGGTTGCCAAGATGAAACTCGATCATAATGTTCTGACTACACCGATTACAAAATAATACATAAAACAGAGCTGAAAAGAAACAAACATTCAATCCCAACAAAATGCCCCTGCCGCATTGCGGCACTCAGTGACCAATCACAAGTCACGTAACTCCTGGCACTCTCACAAATACAGGGNACGCATAATGCGTAAACAAAAACCAAACTGAATTTCGAACTCCCAAAACCGACCTTCTCGGTCGAAGACGAAGAGGAAAAAGCAACAGACCTACTTGTCTGTAAACGTAGCTCGTGTCGGGACAAGAGGGAAGGGGAAACACGTGACCTCTGGGTTACGCAAAGAACTTGATAGGAAAGGGATCGGCTCCGCGTCGTAGCGTACGTAGTTGCCAGAGAGAGAGAGACGGTAAATCCAAAGATCCTACACCGAAAGAACCGTGACACGGTTCAGCATCCATCTGTACCTTGGTGGAGGCCAATTTCGGCAATTTATGCTAATGTTAGGTTGTGATTGTACATTATGTTAGGTGTGCACAAACGATTGCTGCCCATCGTTATGATCAGTTAAGCACGGTTTGGTCGTCGGCAATATCTTACGATTGAATGCCTCTGATAGCGTATTAAATCATTATATATTTATGCGGGACATTTTATTCCCGAAATTTCTCACGTCATAAACTCTTGCATATATTTTTCTGTTAAACTCTCTACACATTCTATGGAACCTGGAATATACTACCATATTTATAGTGGATTTAAATGCATTTTTCCGAAATACCGATATTTCAAAACGCTCTCAAGTGAATGATATCACAATTATCTCGATTTTCTTTTACAATTTCCACAAGTTCCGCAAATGTTATCTTTTCCAAAGATCCCATTATTAAATTCATTACGGTTTTCGACATATATCAAGGACATACATATACTTTATATGAAAGGTGTCCTCCCCACAATACACGTGCTCAAATAGTCGATAGGGAAATCACTGATTACGATCTCAACCTAACAATATATCATTCAACATAAACAAAAACGAACACATCACTATATGTGTTCTAGACTAAACTATAAAATACCATTACAAGACTGTCAGCTCTAACAACTCGTGCAATCCTGTAAACTATGTTATTCTCTAAGTAGTTTAATAGATGAAAAGAACATAACACCCTCATCCCCTATACTACCTGCTAGCACATGTAAGCCTGGAAGATTAGATGGCAAGAATGCATTCCTTTGTATATCACACCGAAATATACATCTAAGTTAGAAATCACTTGCCATCATTCTTCAAGCTATAACACATAATCTACAGACCACTGTGCACATTTCACACTGTCATTTAACACAATTGCCAGCATAACTCCAACGACAACAGGTGCTTCACTTATCATACCACCTTATTATAAGCAACAATTCTTCATACAAACAAGATATGTACATGAAAGGGGAAACTTTTGAATCCAATGTGTCTGAATGGAAATCTTAACGTTCTTCAAATCACTACAATAACTCACTACACATCACTGTATATATTTCACACAAAAAAACAATGTCACACTAGAAATTTTAAAATTCACTTTACACTTGACAACACTGTAATCAAAACAACACATACTATACACACCACTCAGTCACACACAACTAACACATAATTTAAAAAAATATTTTCTTCAATGGGAACTAGAATTTCACTTTGCGCCCTCTTCTTATATGTACTTATAACACAATAAAACATAACATTCTGATTAATAAACTACACACACCTTTAATATTCACAGGCTACATACCAAAACTACGCCCTCTTTTCTGTCATACCAAATATGCCCTCATTAAAGATAATTCACTCTCTATCCATATAACCACTGAAACACATTTCTTCCAAACCACTACACATAATTCACTCGATATTACTAATAGTGCAAGAATAACCTCAAAGAAACGTTGCCTCACTACACACCCAATTTTCTTATATTCACTTACTTTCGTTAAATCAATTTTATCATGTTTTCTTCCTTCACACATACTTCAGTGTCATGGTGCTGAGGGAAAACACTTCGATTTCGTTGTGGATCAGAGGAAACACATGTTTGTAATATTTCGTGCACTGGCCATTACTCGGTCCAGGATAATACACACATTAACCCCTACCATTTGCACTATCTCGCTTAACCCCTTTACATATAATTTCAGGCAGATAATTAATCACAACATGTACATATATGTATATAAACATACGCATAACACCATCTTATTATTTATAAATACCTCTTCAATATCAGGAAGGAAACCAACCTTGATGGTGCACACCGGATATTTAGGTCACACTGACAGGGCGGCCAACCTTTTAATATGACTGAAACAGAAACATTCGAATATCAGTCGGATTACAGGACGGTAATTTTTCACCCTATTTTTTTCCCTTTTAATTGTATAATATTATTCTACTTCCTATCCACGAAGGGAAATTCGGCGAAACAAATACCCACCACTCACTCAATTGGTCGCGTATCCATAACCGAGAAACAAGGGAACGATTTCACTGACATCAAAGATTTTTCGTCATAAATTTATGCCATTGGAGGGCAGCATAATGCCATAATATGTGATATTCAGTAATCATTTATATTACCGTGGGGGATTCGAAAACTCTTGAGGTGGGAGAGGCGTTCTCGACACAATCTAAACTATCACTTAGCAATAAAACCTCGGAATATAACTACAGAAATTTTTATTATGGGAGGAAAAAGAGGTAAGACCCTCAATTTTATACATAACGTCATATTTCGACTTATATTCCACGTTACGACAGTCCTATATTCATCATCATAATCAGTAATCTGTCAAGACGACAGGTCCCCAGTCTCTTTCAAAACAATTCCTCCACTTAATGCCATCTAGAGCTTTCTCCTTCAAATGACAGTATCCTCTTCTGTCCCCAAGTTCATCCAGCATCTTCTTACGTCTTCTTCCTCTTCTTCTTGTCACTTCTATCCGCCCATCTATCTTTCCTTCGATAGCTTCTTTTAGAAGGCAGTTTCTGCGTAAAACATGACCAATCCAATTAGCCTTTCGTTTGCTTATTTCATGTAGGNTATTATATATTACGTTCGGTTAAATACCAGCCTCGTAAATGACGTCACCCTTAGGTGTGCGCAATGAACTACTGCGCACCCATCTGTAAACCATGTGGCTGGCCCTTGGATCCCTGATGTTAGGTTAAGTTAGGGTCGGTTAGGTTCGTCAGATTAGTTTTGCGCAGTATACTACCGCGCATCCATCTGTACCTAGGAGGAGGCCAAGTTCGGTAATTTATGCTAATGTTAGGTTGTGATTGTACATTATGATAGGTGTGCGCTAACGACTGCTGCCCATCGTTATGATCAGTTAAGCACGGTTTGGTCGTCGGCAGTATCTTACGATTGAATGCCTCTTATAGCGTAGTAAATCATTATATATTTATGCGGGACAATTTATTCCAGAAATTTCTCACGTCATTAACTCTTGCATATATTTTTCTGTTAAACTCTCTACATATTCTATGGAACCTGGAATATACTACCATATTTATAGTGGATTTAAATGCATTTTTCCGAAATACCGATACATCAAAACGCTCGCAAGTGCATGATATCACAATTATCTTGATTTACTTTTATAATTTCCACAAGTTCCGCAAATTTTCTCTTTTCCCAATTTCCCATTATTAAATTCATTATGGTTTTCGACATATATCAAGGACATACATATACTTTATATGAAAGGTATCATCCCCACAATACTAGTGCTAAAATAGTCTATAGGGAAATCACTTATTACGATCTCAACCTAACAATATATTATTCAACATAAACAAAAAACGAACACAACACTATATGTGTTCTAGACTAAACTATAAAATACCATTACAAGACTGTCAGTTGTAACAACTTGTACAATCCTGTAAACTGTGTTATACTCTAAGTAGTTTAATAGATGCAAAGAACATAACTCCCTGATCCCCTATACTACCTGCTAGCACATGTAAGCCTGGAAGATTAGATGGCAAGAATGCAATCCTATGTCTATCACACCGAAATATACATCTAACTTAGAAATCACTTGCCATCATTCTTCAAGCTATAACATATAATCTACAGACTACTGTGCACATTTTACACTGTCAATTTACACAATTGCCAGCATAACACCAATGACAATATGTGCTTCACTTTTCATACAACCTTTTTATAAGAAAGAATTCTTCATACAAACAAGATATGTACATGAAAGGGAAACTTTTGAATCCAATGTGTCTGAATGGAAATCTTAACGTTCTACAAATTACTACAATAACTCCCTACACATCACTGTATATATTTCACACAAAAAAAAAAAAATGTCACAATAGAAAATTTAAACTTCACTTTTCACTTGACGACACTGTAATCAAAACAACACATACTATACACACCACTCAGTCACACACAACTAACACATAATTTTAAAAAATAACTTCTTAAATGGAACTACAATTTCACTTTGCGCCCTCTTCTTATAGGTACTTATATGGGTGAGTGGGCAACTCAGTGTTTTCCCTGGGTTAACACGTGTTCCACAGTCTCTTCCAAAACAGTTCCTCCACTTAATGCGATCTTCTGTTTTTTGAAAGAGACTATCCAGGAAAAGTGATAATGTGGTAGTTTTTCCATTTGCTTTCCACATCGCAGTACAGCAGCCGTTCAAACCACTCTGTTCACGCCTGTTTCTATACGGACTTGAACCATCTCGAGCATCATTTGCTCTGTGCTTCAAGTCGCTGCTGATGACGCTGCTTCCGGCATCAGTTTTTGGTGTCTCTCTTCGTCTGATGCCTACCCTTTGACCTGTCCAGCAAGGGAGGCCCTGCCAGTAGCTACGCTACCGCTGGTATAGCTCTCAGGGTCCTTGGCATACTCAAACCCCCTCACCACGATGAGGTGGAGGCACCAACGAACATTCTGACTAATAACCCACACACACCTTTAATATTCAGAGGCTACATACCAAAACTACACCCTCTTTTCTGTCATAACAAATATGCCCTCATTAAATATAATTCACTCTCTATCCATATAACCACTAAAACTCATTTCTTCCAAACACTCCACATAATTCACTCGATATTATTAATAGTGCAAGAATAACCTCAAAGAAACCTTGCCTCACTACACACCCACTATTCTAATATTCACTTACTTTCGTTAAATCAATTTTATCATGTATTCTTCCTTCACACATACTTCAGTGTCATGGTGCAGAGGGAAAACACTTCGATTTCGTTGTGGAACAGAGGAAACACATGTAAGTTTGAGGTTTTCACGGCGA